TTTCTCAAAATCACATAAAGTCATATTATAACATCGACTGAGATAAAAAATAAAATGAAATATTAAAATCACTATGTATCTCGCTACATTACGCGAGTACGCTTCTAGTTAATTATTACACATTAAGTTTAAGTTTAATATATAATATATTTTCTTTCAAAAAATATATATTGGGAACGTATACACACGTGCACACACAGATATATATTTATATAGTAAGGTTATGATGAAAATGATATCCATCAACTATTAAATTAATGATTCAACGGATATGATTAAATTTACATTTACAACAATATTTTTTAATATAGAAACTTCAATTCCCCCATATCTTATTTAAAAAAATACGAAATATAAATAAAAATCGAGCAAAATAAATTATACCAAAAAACAATCATATTTTTTTCATTAATTTGACATTCATATTGATACATTTTTTTTCATCCGTTTTTTGTGGTTTTCCGGTTTTTCATTTATTTTGCATTGAGAGAGAGAGTTGAGTTAATGGAAACGTTAAATAAATGAAAACCGGAAAATCACAAAAAAACCGATGAAAATGTATATCAATATGGTGTAATTTATTGTGTTCGATTTCTATTTCTATTTCATTTTTTTGACTAAAAAATAGGAAAATTTGGTTTTTGGGTCGGGATTTTTAAGGGAACTGGCCGAGAGTCCCCGGACACCTTCGCATGATGTGTATGGTGATCAAACGGAGTCGGATTTAGACGAAACTTTAGGGTGGTGAATTTTTTTAATTTTAAAAAATATGTTATAAACGTCTGTTTAATCACATCCATTGAATCAATTAATCTAATAATAGATGCCAGTGAGTGTTCCGGCTAAACCTCCCTATACACGTGAGCACGCATGTATACGTACACAACAAATATTTTTTGAAAAAAATTATATATTGAAATTAAATTTAAAGTATAATAATTAATATATATTAAAGGATAATAATTTATTAATTTAATAAACTTAAAGAATAAAAAATTAACAACTTTATAATTTTCGAACTTATTTACGGATTTGGTTTCTGTATTTTATATGGTTTTTACGAAATTGATCCCTTTAGTAAGACAAAAAAAGGACGAAAATTCCCTCAAGATTAACAAAGGAATTGGATGGTTGTTAGAGTAAGGGATCAATTCATTACAAAACGACATACGACAAGACCTAATATGTAATAAATGAAGTTCAAGAACCATTTTCGTAAAAACCATCAAACCAGAAGGACCAAAATTAGTATTTGACTCTAACATTTATATGCAGCAAAACTCATACACACTGCTTACTTTTGGTGAGACTTGAACTTTTGACCATCCGACTGGGTTTGTTAATATTGAGCATCTCCAACAACTTCAACAAAATGAAAAAAAAAAAAAAAAAAAAGAATTTCGAAGACATAAAGTCTATTTTTTTATTTATTAAATATTTTAATAATATGTCAGAATTGAATATAATTTATTTAAAGATTTTGCACTTGTGCTGCTGGAGATGCCCTTGGGTTACGTTATAAAAGACTAGAAGCGTACTCGCGCAATGCAGCGAGATACATCATGATTTTAATATTTCATTTTCTTCTTTATCTCAGTCTATATTATAATATGGCTTAAT